ACAAGCCAGGCAGTGAGCAGGATCTGCCTGGGCATGATGCAGATATCTTTCTGGCAGTGATTCTTAAGCTGAGTGTGCGATGAGAGAACTCCTAGTGTGCTGTGAGAAATACATTAATTAAATAGTTAAAGTCGACTTGTGGGCTCAAGGTAGCCACCCACAGACGAGGCCGCAGGATTAATTGCATGGGTCTTACCACCTGTGAATCAGGTGGGGATAATTCTGTCATGTCTGTGTTCAGTCATCCCTGGTGTGTATGAGTTGCAAATTGGTACTTCACCTTCTCTTGAACAAGAGGGATATCTCCCAGAACAATAATTACATGGAAACGTGAGCAACATGGCATTAATCAGAGTAGACCCACTGCAATTAATAGACCTACCTAGCTTGTCATGTTCATAGAGCAGACCCACTCAAATTGCAGTAAAACATAGTGGGATAGTACCCAATAGGTGTGGGTCTTCGGTGAGTAGGTGCCCCTTCCTCTTGCATATGCTAAAAGCAAAACAAAAACAAAAACCAGCCTAACAGGAACATTAATGGATAAAAATAAGCACATATTGCCTCTAGCCTAATAGCTATTAACTTGGACAAATGAAGAGAGCATCAGTAGTGGTTGTCACGGCAGTAGTAAGGTCTAAATTCAGTTCAGATATGACCCAAACTTGGCCACAGGGTTAGAATCAGATCACTGTGGCCGTGGAAGAGTTCACATCTGATGTCTCTCGGGGGGCCCTTACATTCCTCCCCCCAGCCCCCAGCCCCACAATCCCACAGTGCAATGCTAGATAGATCATTCTGCTGTGGCTCTATGGGAAATTCAATGTGTGAACTAAAGCCAGCTGCCACCAAGACCAGGTTACGTCACTAACAGAGGAGGGGGGTCCAGAGGACTGCCCGCCCCCCACAAAAAGAGCACTGGAACCTCTTAGATCCAGATCCAGAGAGTTGTCTCCCGTGGTTGGAACCTCAGAAACAAGCTTGGAATCAAAATCTGGACCTACGTGTGTACGGTGAGCACAGAAAGACGTCAGATGAAATATAAAGGTAAAGGTAAAGAGACCCCTGACCATTAGGGCCAGTCGTGACCGACTCTGGGGTTGCGGCGCTCATCTCGCTTTATTGGCCGAGGGAGCCGGCGTACAGCTTCCGGGTCATGTGGCCAGCATGACTAAGCCGCTTCTGGCGAACCAGAGCAGCGCACGGAAACGCCGTTTACCTTCCCGCCAGAGCGGTACCTATTTATCTACTTGCACTTTGACGTGCTTTCGAACTGCTAGGTTGGCAGGAGCTGAGACTGAGCAACGGGAGCTCACCCCGTCGCAGGGATTTGAACCGCCAACCTTCTGTCCGGCAAGTCCTAGGCTCTGTGGTTTAACCCACAGCGCCACCCGCGTCCCCAGATGAAATGTAATGCCCCACAAAGCATGCAGGCTACAATCAGAGTATTATGGCAGCTGGAACCTTTGTAAATTAAATCTTGATTCCTCATCTGAATATCCTCCCCATACCTGTTAGGAACTTGCTGCGTTCCTGTGCAATCACGCCCGTGTTTATTCAGAAGCAGACCCCACACAGTGTCTGTGGGGTTGCTCAGAGCATCAGCCACCCTTTGATTGACCTTGTCTCCTTCTTGGATCGTGGCCCAGCTCCAATGAGCAGGGCTGGGATGTCCTCCATCCTTACAGGTATTTAGCATTTCTCTTCTCTTGTTAATGAGGTAAGGAATATGGGAGGGGGAACCTCTATAATGTATAGCACTAGATAACTGCCAAGCAGTATCCATCCACTTCCTGTCTCCTATATATGTCTCCTATATTGCTTGCTATGGGTAAGAGGGTGGCAAACTAAGATGCCAGTTGATGGGGGTCCCCCCCCCATTCATATCCTCTTGTTTGCAGAGGAAATCACTCTCCTCTCCAGAAAGGAGGAGGAGGACCAGTGAAGATCAGTGTGTGGGGCGAACTAGAAGCCCTAGATTGTTTCTGTACATCTCAATGGACTCCACAGGTGATTCCATTTCCAAACAGCCCTTTAATTAGCAGCACTTAGCACCTACCCAAGGGGTGCTAAGTGCTGCAAGCTGAAGAGGATTATTAGCACCTCTTCATGGGGCTTGATTTCTCTGGACAATGCGAGGACAGCCCCCCACTGTTGCTAGGGGGAGCCACAGGAGGAAAATTGCCCTAGATCTGTGTTGCTGGCAATTGCCCCAGTTCGCCACCTAGAGAATATGAAGTTTCAATACTTCATCCTCCAATTATCCTAGCAGGTTCCTCCTACCACTTCCAAAACACAGGCTGAGGCCAGGTGTGTGCAAAGCCTTGGACACATTGCATGCTCTGAACTAACCGAAGGGCGGAAAAGGCTCCGTCAGTCTCAAAAAGTGGCACATATCTGAAAGATGCTGCTTCTTCCACCCCCACAAAATCACAAGGATGGGGAAATCCCTCTCTGTTTATTCCATCTTCGATTTCTTATTAAATTCTACCGCTATTAGTTGCTTGCTACACACAAAAAGGTCTCAGAGAACTTACAGAAACTGATAAGAGCATAAAGCATAAACAAAAAAGTCATTAGAATATGTAATAGTTCATGCATTGATGTTACTTCAATAACTCTTGCCTTGTTTTTTGAAATCAATGGGCAGGAGCTTCCCCAGACTGGGAGGCACTGTGGGAAGGCTCTTGCTCAGTGCTGATGCTCCTGCTATTCATGCAGGTCCCGGGTTCCATCGTGGCCTCTCTGGGAGGGACTTCTGCCTGAAATCACAAAGCGCCACTGCCAATCAGTGTAGACAGTGCTGAGTGAGATGGATCAATTTGATTCAGTATAAGGAGCTTCCTGTGTTCCTTCCTATAACAAAAAAATAATAACTTGTTCACCAAGGGCAAAATTAACTTACGGAATTTGGTGCTACAAGACAGGGTGGACTGAGCACAATTTATCTGTTAATCCACTTCCTCCATTCAGAATAGACTGGAGCAGTTCACACCTGCTTGTATTTGAATTTGGGTAAGAGGAGGAACGGGAAGCGGGTGGCGCTGTGGGTAAAAGCCTCAGCGCCTAGGACTTGCCGATCGAAAGGTCGGCGGTTCGAATCCCCGTGGCGGGGTGCGCTCCAGTTGCTCGGTCCCAGCGCCTGCCAACCTAGCAGTTCGGAAGCAAGTAGATAAATAGGGACCGCTTTCTAGCGGGAAGGTAAACGGCGTTTCCGTGTGCTGCGCTGGCCACATGACCCGGAAGTGTCTGCGGACAGCGCTGGCCCCCGGCCTATAGAGTGAGATGGGCGCACAACCCTAGAGTCTGTCAAGACTGGCCCGTATGGGCAGGGGTACCTTTACCTTTACCTTAAGAGGAGGAACTCCAGTCTTTTCTGTTTCTGCAAGCAGGCATCCCCTTTTCTGTTTGCCCCTGCCGCATTTGTTGATTCTATTGTGCCCATGAGGTGGCACACACCCAGATACCTGGGCACACACATTTAGAAAGAAAACCCACACCCAAGAAGAGTGCAAAAGCTCACAGTCAGGCAGCTGGAATTTTGCTTGTGTGGTTTTCTGGGTTTGTGCACACACCAAAAAGCCACCGTAAATTCACAGCACACACTTTTCAGATTGTTGGTATAGTTTGCTTGTGCAGTTTTCTGGTTTTGTACACTTTGAAGGATGGTGCCTATGCTCTGCCTTCATGCTGCCAGATTTCAAGTCAGCATCAAGGCCGTGCGCAGAGGCAGTTCCTGTTCTCCACTGGTGGGGGGATTATTATTATTATTATTTACTTAAATTCCTCTGCAAAGTGCTATGGGTGCCAGTTAACATCAAATACATAAATAGCAGCAATAACACAATTTGAAGGGAAAACAGTCAGAGTTTTGTGGCACGTTGGAAGGCAGCAGTTCCCAAACTCCCCACCCTGATGGGTAGCACATGAAAATTACTAATGGTCTTGGTGCAGCACCTGGTGATTTTTTTCCCTTGCCTTTCGTAGCAATGCTAATGCATTGTCATTGTGCTAGATGCAGTTGGTTGTTAGTCATATTGTTGTCGCTCCTTTTATTGCATTGCATTTTATAGTATTACTATTTGCAATTCGCTGGCAGTCCTCTGCTCTGGACCTGGAGGCTTCATTTAGCCACGTTCGCTAAGTGGGGGAGTTACTTATCCTTCCTAATTCTCCCTTACAGCCGGCGCATCTTCTTCACATCTCGTGGCAGCAGCCAGTGCCCAAAGTTAGTGGAACTTTAAAGAGGAACCCCATTTACTACGGGGTGAAGTCTCTGCGTGGTTGGCATTCAACGAAGTTCCAAGCTGAGTAGACCCATGGAAGTCCATGGACCAAGAACTCTGTCATGGTCATTAATACTGACGGCTCTACTCTGGGGCAAACTTCGTGGTGACTACTGCCCTCCGTGGTGTTGTTTTTGCAATTAAAGGGCCCCTGCCTCAAATAAAGCATCTTGGGGATTGGGGACTGGGATTTGCCAAGGGAGCTGGGATTTGCAGTTCCGTGGAGGGTACGGGGGAGAGGGTCCCTTCCGCGTCTGGGTGCCCCGGGCCCCTTTGCGCTGAGACGCGCGTCTTTGGGCGTCTCGGCGCAGCCTTCTCGGTCTCCCTCCCGCCCGGCTGCCCCGACGCGGCTTCTTTCTGGCGCGGGGAGGGGGCGGCTCTGGGGCAGGGCGTCGGCCGGCCTCCGGCGCGGGTGGGCGGGCCCCGTCGGGGCGGGTGGGCGGTCTTGGCGCGCAGGCACTAGAGCGCAGGTGGCTCCGGCTGGGCGCTTCATTCGCCGCCGGTGGCGCGTTTGGCGGGCTGCGCGCGTCCAGAGAGCGAGCCGAGCCTGGGCGGCGTGGCGCTTGGTGCCGGAGCCTCCGCCCGCAGCGCCCCGTCGGGAGAGCCGGCCGGAAGGAGCCTCGAGCCGGCTGTCGGACGCGGCTGAAGCAGCCAGGGCGGCATGGCAGGCGGCGGCGGCGGCTCCTCGGCGACTCCACGCGGCCAGCCCAGCGCGCTGGCCGAGCCCCGCAGGCGAACGCTGCCCGTCGGAGAGTGACGGCCCCCGGGCCGGGCCAGGACGCGCGTCCCGCTTGCATGGCTGGCGTGCGCTCCGCGCGGAGGGACTTTGGCAGCGCGGCGCCCGTGGCCTCGCCGAAGAAACTTTTCTCCCTGGCGATCCCGTCGGGGGACCTGTGAAGCGGAGCCAGCGCCTGGCGAGCATGAGCCGGGAGAGAGCCGCCCCGGAGCCGCCTTGCCATGGAGTTTCGCCTCTTGGGTTGGTTGCGTCCCTCCGGGTTTTACCCGCCTTAAGGCGCCCGGCCGGCCGGGGAACAGAAGCGCCCAGGTGCGCCTTTAGCCGGCGCTGAAGGACTTTGGGGTGACTGGCTTGGCGGGGCTCGGAGCGGACTGCGAGGGGGCGCCTCGTATCATGTGCGCCTTGGGCGACGCTGCTGCTGCTGCTGCTGCTACGGGGACCCCCCGGCTCTCCTTCCCGGGACTCGGTCCGAAGAGCTAAACCCAGCGCGCTCCCCCCACCCCCCCCCCGGGGAGGCAGCGCCGCCTTCCCCATGGCCGGCCTCCGCGACGCGTGGCTGAGCCTCTTGCTGCTGCTGCTGCTGCGTCCCGCTCCGTCGGCGGCCGCCTCCAAGGCCATCGTGTGCCAGGAGATCACGGTGCCCATGTGCAAAGGCATCGGCTACAACCTGACCTACATGCCCAACCAGTTCAACCACGACACGCAGGACGAGGCCGGGCTGGAGGTGCACCAGTTCTGGCCCCTGGTGGAGATCCAGTGCTCTCCGGACCTCAAGTTCTTCCTGTGCAGCATGTACACGCCCATCTGCCTGCTGGACTACGCCAAGCCGCTGCCTCCCTGCCGCTCGGTCTGCGAGAGAGCCAAGGCGGGCTGCTCTCCCCTGATGCGCCAGTACGGCTTCGCCTGGCCCGAGAGGATGAACTGCGACAAGCTGCCCGTCCTGGGGGACGCCGAGATGCTGTGCATGGATTACAACCGCACCGAGGCCGCCACCACCTTGGCCCCCTTCCTCACCAAGCCCACCCGCCCCTCCAAAGGTGCCCACAGGAACCTGAGCCCGCTAAACGGGGCCGGCTGCAAGCGGGTGTGCGAGTGCCGGGAGCCCCTGGTCTTCATCTCCGAAGAGTCCCACCCGCTCTACAACAAGATTGAGACGGGCCACGTCCGCAACTGCGCCGTCCCTTGCTTCCAGCCCTACTTCACCCAGGACGAGAAGACCTTTGCCACCTTTTGGATAGGCCTGTGGTCTGTCCTCTGCTTTATCTCCACCTTCACCACCGTGGCCACCTTCTTGATCGACATGGAGAGATTCAAGTACCCGGAGCGCCCCATCATCTTCTTGTCGGCCTGTTATCTCTTCGTCTCCATCGGCTACATCATCCGGCTGGTGGTGGGCCACGCCAGCGTGGCTTGCAATAAAGATTACAACCACATACACTACGAGACCACCGGCCCTGCCCTCTGCACGGTGGTCTTCCTCCTGATCTACTTCTTTGGCATGGCCAGCTCCATCTGGTGGGTCATCTTGTCCCTCACCTGGTTCTTGGCTGCCGGGATGAAATGGGGCAACGAAGCCATCGCTAGCTACTCCCAGTATTTCCACATGGCCGCCTGGCTCGTCCCCAGCGTCAAGTCCATCGCGGTGCTGGCCCTGAGCTCGGTGGATGGCGACCCGGTGGCCGGCATCTGCTATGTGGGCAACCAGAACCTAGACAAGCTGCGGGGTTTCGTCCTGGCTCCCTTGGTGGTGTACCTGTTCACAGGGACCATGTTTCTGCTGGCCGGTTTTGTGTCCCTCTTCAGGATCCGGAGTGTGATTAAGCAAGGGGGCACCAAAACGGACAAGCTGGAGAAGCTGATGATCCGGATTGGCATCTTCACGGTGCTCTACACGGTCCCGGCCACCATAGTGGTGGCCTGCTACATTTATGAGCAGCACTACCGGGAAAGGTGGGAGACGGCGCAAAACTGCTCTTGCCCTGGGGAGAAGCCCAAGGTCAAGCCCGACTACGCTGTCTTTATGCTGAAGTACTTCATGTGCCTGGTGGTGGGCATCACCTCGGGGGTCTGGATTTGGTCGGGGAAGACCCTCGAGTCTTGGAGGCGCTTCACTAGCAGGTGCTGCCGGAGTGGGAAGCCTGGGAGCACTGGCATGTACAGCGAAGCGAGCGCAGCTCTGACGGCCAGGAGTGGCCTCCCCAACCCTGCTCCTTACCACAAACAAGTCCCACTGTCCCACGTCTGAAAAAAAGGGAGGGGGAGCAAAAAAACCCCCAAAGCACCTTACTTGGTCGTAGTTGGGAGCAGGTAAGCACAGTGTGACTTGAGCTCCCAACTGCAAAAATGGTTTTGAAATAACCCCTGGAGCTTTGCTTTTAACCTGTCATTTGGTCTGCCTGTTGTGAAACGCTTTGCTCCATCTTCTGATGGAGACACAAAAGAGGGGCTAGTTCATGGGGGCGGGGGGGGGGAATGGACACATTGCTTTGCCCATATTGCAAGATTGTAGGGTTTACTAAGAGCACGCTACCGCCTTGGGAATGCATATTGTCCTTCCTGGGGAAGTGTGGAAGGAGCAAGCGAAGATCTAACTCTGACTTTACATGGGGTATGTGTGAATTAGTTTCCAGGTATAATGAAAAAGCAGTCTTGGAGGATGCAGTTCTGAAGGGCAGGGGCTGCTTTAGCCTTTCTCTTCCTGCTGTTTTCTGCTCAGTATGAGTCCCGCCTCCCCCCCATCCCAATCAATTTCCTCGCACCATTGGGAAAGCAGCTGAGGAGGAGCAAAAGGCAGGAAAAGGAACATTGACTGTTCTTTGGCTTCTGCATTCCTATTCAGGATAGTTAAATCCTATACATGTTTACTTGGAAGCAAGTCCCATTGAGGTCGGGGTGTGTGTGTGCTTAAGAGCATAAGAACAGCACTGCTGAATCAGGCCAAAGGCACCTGCAGTCTAGCACCAGCTCTCACAGTGGCCAAGCAGACGCCAGAGTGCAGCCAGAACAGCCCCAGCCCCGTGCGATTCCCAGCAACTAGTTTTCAGAGACATCCTTTGAGGGCAACTTACACTCCATCCAAGTGTCTCCTGTATTCTGTGTCTCCCACACAATCTAGTTTGGTCCTTAGGACACTAATTTAATTGGTGAAATGATAAATTTAGAGTCCTTTCCACTAGGTTGGGGTGGGCAGCTGCAGTCAGGCAAATGTTAAGTTTCCTGGTAGCGGAACTTTCTCACGCTACGCTGTCTGTTTCAACAAAACGTGCTACTGAAGTTTTCGGATATAAAGGAGTATCAATTTGGAGGGAGGCTCTGCTTTCAAAATGGGTGAGTTGTGGAGCTGAGATTGAGCAGAGTCTGGTTTCAGGTTTACTTTTGGATGGCGTAAGTCCACCATCATCAGTTTTTACGCATGCCTTTGCCAGGCGGACTCATAAAGCCATTGGTGTGAGTATTAGTTTCTCTTCAGCATTCAAAATGAAAGTAGGAAGGGCTGCATGAATTCAGATGCAGACCAGAAGTGCTTGTTAAGCGCTGTACATGATTTCACCTCCTTTGCAAATGAGGACTGTGCATTTCTTACTGTGTTTTCACTCTAAGTGCTTGGGGGCTGCAAGCCTGTGCATGTTTACTCAGAACTAAGTCCCATTGGACTCAATGGGGCTTGCACCCAGGAAAGTAGTTTCAGCCCCATAGTCATTTTCAAAGATGTCAGTCTCTCTGTCTCTCCTATTCCAGTTCCACCTGCCCTGGTGGGGTGATAGATAACAGCAACAAGTTTTCTTAAGATTCATTTCACCGCAAATATTCTTTTGACTCGAGGGACTGAAAAATCAGTTGACACAAGGTATGAAGAATTACTCAAGAGGTAAAGCTATAAAGAACCACAAAGAATCGATTTATGGCTTGGCACACTAGCAGTCTGATCCTCTGCAAGTTTGTTCAGCAGTATGTCTTCTTGAGTGTAAGGGGACTTACCTGAAAAGGTACTGGACATGTTTTGATTCCCTACTCTCTCTCCCCCCCCATCTACTGAAACAATGGTTCTTGGATAACAGGTTTTTAACATATGGCTGCCCTGAGTGAGGCCGGTATGTATTTGTAAGGTATTGTTAATGCTAATTCCCCCCGCCCCCCTTTAGAAAGTAGAGCTCTGCCCCTAGTGCAATCCCCTTAAGACTGAATGTGTTGTGTGTGTCCCCCCCCCCACAACAGCTGCAACTGTAGGGAACGACAATCAACACCCCTCCTCTCTTTGCAGAAGGGGCCACCTCCATTTCTAGCCTTTGAAGCAGTGGCAAAAGTCACCTTCTAAGGAAAGCTGTTCAGCTTTTAAACCTTAAATGCTGATACTTCTGTATTAATTAACCCGAAACAATATTAGATATGGCAGTAGATCCCTAGCGCTGTGTGTGTGTGTGTGTGTGTGTGTGTGTGTTAGTTTCTGTCGAGGGAGCCAGTCCTCTTTCAGTGAAAAGTGTTAGCACTTCAGTTCTATATGGAAAAAACTTCATTCTGGTAATAAGATTTTTTTGGGGGGGGGCAGGATATTGCATTTGGATCTGCTTTACAAAGAGTTTCTCCTGAACTCTGATTTACTCGACTGCTCAGTTTGTGAATGGGCAGCCTCGGGAGAATCCAAACCTCTTTGGCCTCCATACAAGGGTGGCATTCATACCACACATTTAAAGCAGATGGCTTTCCTCAACAACCCTGGGAACTGTAGCTTACACCCCAAAGAGCCACCATTTTCAGCACCCTTAGCAAACTACAGTTCTCCGGGTTTATTGGAGGCAGCCGTGTGCTTTTGAAGTGTGGTGTGGATATGACCACCTAGGTTTGTGGGGAGGCCAATCCACCGCCCACCCATTTAGCTAGAGCTTTGGCACTGATCCTGCCCATGCTACCACCCTAACCCAGGGAAAAAAAGCATTTTTCTAAGTGCTGGTTTCCATGTGCACAACTATGGATTATGTGTGACCTGGGCCTGTGAAGGATATCCATGACTGCTTAAATGCTACTGGTATAGTTTTCCACATCACTTCCCAAACCATTCCCCCCCCCATGGTTTTGGCTTTCCAATTTCAGTGGGGAAGTTAAGTATGTGCTTAACTCACTCTGTTCAAAAGCAAAAGGATGTCAGACTACAAATATATATATATGTGTATGTACACACATACACACACACACACACACACACACACACACACACACACACACGTAGCGCTGTGGGTTAAACCAGAGGCTAGGACTTGCCAATCAGAAGGTCGGCGGTTCGAATCCCTGCGACGGGGTGAGCTCCCGTTGCTCGGTCCCTCCTCCTGCCAACCTAGCAGTTCGAAAGCACGTCAAAGTGCAAGTAGATAAATAGGTACCGCTCTGGCGGGAAGGTAAATGGCGTTTCCGTATGCTGCTCTGGTTCGCCAGAAGTGGCTTAGTCATGCTGGCCACATGACCCTGAAGCTGCCTGTGGACAAACGCCGGCTCCCTCGGCCAATAAAGCGAGATGAGCGCCGCAACCCCAGAGTCGGCCACGACTGGACCTAATTGTCAGGGGTCCCTTTACGCACACTGTGGAGTAACCGTTTGAACTCATTGAGCTTTTATGTCTGAGTAGACGTAACATGGTTTAAAGAACTTAAGCGGGGCTGGCCCACACCTCTCAAAATAAAACAGCATCTTTTCCGTCCAGTTGCCAATGCATTTCTTTTACTAAGGCATGTAGGCCATCAGGTCACTTTGAACAAAAGCAACTCTTTCCAGGATCACTTTCCAGCCTCTGTTTCTTCAAGCGCACCTGCCCAGCAGTGGCTGCAATTGGAACATTTCTCTAGTGCCTTCCTTTAGGATGGTTTCTTCTCATCTCATTTACTGGATGGGGAAGAGTGTGAACAGGATCGGACTCTTACATTAGCCCAGCGGCACAGGAAACAGCTATGCTGGTGGAGCTCCCTTCTCCCCGCCTGCTGCCAAGATAATGTGGGGAGGAGGGTTGCAAGACGATGCCAGAGAAGCTTCCTTCTCCCGCGGATGCTCAGCTCCCACATCTGCTGCTACTGCTGGGTGTTAGCCGGAGGGAGTGTGCAACCTGGGAAAGGACACATCCAGTTCCCGGACCGGATGGCTGTGTGGTGTCAAATGTTAAGCATACACATGGATGCAGCAGGCGGAGGCAAGAGAGGAGGGGCTGGTGGAAACTTGGCCTGGACAGGAACTAGCAACGTTCCCCTTTTCCTCTGGAGCCCATGGAAGGCAGAGGAAAAGTGCAGGGGCAGAACTGTTTGAAGGAATTTGGCTGTACTTCTACAGGCAGTTTTTAAGTATTGGACAGAGTAGCTCCAGCTTGCAGACATCATCCATTGAGTTAAAGAGTTGCTCTTGTTTTTAAAAATTAACACTACCCAAAATATCCCAGGGTTCACTTAACTCGGCTTCTCTTGTCAGAGAACTGACAAGGATCTGGCATCAGAAAATAGCCAGGATGCGGGTTGACGTAGACCAGTGTTCCCCAACCTTGGGCCTCCAGCTGTTTTTGGACTACAACTCCCATCATCCCTCGCTAGCAAGACCAGTGGTCAATGGGAATTGTAGTCCAAAAACAGCCGGAGGTCCAAGGTTGGGGAACACTGACGTAGACCATAACTTCCTCTGGAGGTGGGGGGAAAGAGGAGGGGCTTTCATTCCTTGACAAGTTTAGTAACACTTTTTTTAAAAGGGTTTGTATCCCATCCTTCCTCGAAGCCCATAACTTTGAGCAAATAGCATTTTACCCTCAAAGCAACCCTGTGAGGTCGGTTGAGTGACTTGCCCACAGACTCCTGGTGAGCCTCATTGTGGTGGATGCAGTGAGAAGAGAGCAGCGATCAGGATCTAACCACTGCCCCTCTGGCTGTTTCTGCAGCATATCCACCTTCCTTCCTTCTGGTTGTGCTGTCTGTCAGTCTTATTTAGCACAGAGTTGGCTGGGTGTAATGGAGTTAAGTGGGAGACCCTACCTTGAAGGCAGTGGTTGAATGACTTCCTTCCAGAATCTATGGACCTGCCACTCCTAGTGTACTGCAGGAGGAAAGGGCTAGAGGGATGCTTGGCCTGAACTTCTGGTTCTGAATTGGAAGCTGCCAATCGGCCACAATGGCGATGCAGAGGTGTCACTCTACTGCTATAACCCTGTGCTTGGCATTGGTCATTTTGGATGGCAGCCTCACTCAATTTAATGCCAATGTCCATCCTTGGTATGCTTTTCTACGCTGCATTCTTCCTTTCCAAAGGATTTTGGTGGAAAATGCTCCAGCACAGTATCACTCCTTCAAAACCATGTTCATATTCGTTATTACTGAGCAATTTTTCTTCCGGTTTTCTTTATGAGGAAATTATTACAGTTGTGCCACAGTGAGGTTTGTTGTCTCCCCCCCCCCCCCCGGCCCAGCTGCTTTAGGGAGCTTAAATGCTGCAACAGTGCAGACCACTTGAAATGACCTGTTCACCTTGACAGCATTAAACATTTAGCTCACAATCTAACATGGCATTAGGGCACACTTAAATCCATTGAAATTAATGGCCTTAAGTGGAAACTGCGTTGGGATTTCTTTCTTCAATTTGTAGAACAATAAATATTTTGGTTAACCTGAGTTGCCTCCCCCCACAAAGGAGAAGTATATCATGTAATATTTCTTGCTAATGGCACAATGGAAAAGATGTTTTTTGAAATATTAGCTTAAACTGCCGTTAGCTCCGCTACCTTCATCAGAGACACTGACCCAACTGAGCAATGCATTTGAGCAAATTTATTGCTCGTTTCGTCTCCCCTGCCCCAAACTGGTTTCACTACCTAGCCAAGCTATGACTGAAGTAGAAAATACTGAATTTCATTTACATTTGTCATATGCTAACAAGATTCATGATTTCTCCCTCCCACTATAATCTGTGCAGTAAGCAGGTTTCAATTGCCAGTACTTATTTTAGCATTGTCCCCAGGATTTGGTCCTCACTACAGCTTCCTCTATGCCAAACTCAGTGCAAAAATGAAAAGGGCATTCTTCCAGACTTTGCTGTGCACATTTCCATTCATTACCTGCAGTTTCCTGGACCACTGTACTGATTTACTAAGTAGATCGGCAGTGGCTACGTAAACTGTCTTGCAGGGAGAAAGAGACCAGCTATCTATTTTTTACTTTCCTCACCAAACCATGCAAACATACAAGATATTTCTCTGTAGCAGATGCTCATCATTTTTGTATGTATGGGTGACTGCTTTGAAAATCCTGATCTCACCTATTGTGTCTACTATTCTTATTTCCACCCAGCGCTGTACCTAGTGGAATGGCGATACAGTACAGGGAAAATAAATCTGCTCGTTGCAACTTTGCTAGAAGGTACAGGCACCTTCTGGTTAAAGTCTGAAATAGCTCACCTTGCACAATTTGTGAAACACCCAGCCAAAACATGGCCTTGACAATCAGCCTGTTTGTCATTGCAGGCAGGCAGCTAAAGTACGTAGGTTTATCAAAAGTCCTGCTGGGTGCAATCAATAGCTGGGGAAGGGAGCTGGATGGAACATGGGCTGTTGAGGGGCCCAATTTCAACTTCAGTGGTTTCTAAAGTCACCCAACCTTACTGGTTTAATACGTTTGTAGTCTAATGCAGTAACTTGATGAATCAAAAAGTTGTGCTTGCAGTAGTTTAGGAACATGACTGCTTATGGTAAGGAAACTAAAACGGTTGCCAGATGATAAAATGAAGGGATTGAAAAGTAAGATGCAGGGCATAATATATTGCATAACATTGCCTTTTGGAATGCAGAAAACATCGGTGTACAAGTTGTCATTCGTTTTGACACTTACAGGGTTCTTTTTCATTGAGACATTGTGTACACCGGCATGTTCCAAGACAGAATTGCACCGTGTAGTTATAGTATGTAAATATTTGTATTAAAAGAATTAAGTCTGTATATATTCTGAATCTCTAGTGAACTTTTGATACGGGTTGGAAGCAGGGTTGTAAATTCTCACTGACAAAGCTTTGGATACAGATAACAGGATGGAAGACCGGGGCATTAAATGGCTGTACTTGATGATACTGGATTCATGCTTGGGTCAGGCTGCTTTTTTTCAGTTGTGCCTTGTGGAGGGATGAAGCTTTTACATACTACTTGCAATATGATTATGAAAATACCATGCCAAATGATGTTAAAAAAAAATGAAAGGAAAAGACACCATTGATTCTGTAAAAAGCTTTAAGAGCAAATAAACCAACTTCAAACTGCCACCTAAATAAATGCCTAAACATGATTATTGCAAGCAAGGTTAGGGAAGAATTCTATATGAAAAGTGAACAGGCTCTCTCTCTCGCTCTGTGTGTATGTGTGTCTAGTACGCAACCTAACCTTTTACAGGCCACTAGCTATTGTACTCTGATATACAGGGCTGCTTTAAAGAAAATGCTGATGATGGGCTTGGTTTTTCAAAAGCTCTGTGCCAAACTTCCAGCTTTTGCATAGAAATTACACAGGGACAGATAGTGTAACAGAATCCCAAGCCACAGCAACTCGATAAGAAGTGGCTTTCGAAAAGTTCTCCATCCTGTTCATTCCAGGGCCAACGTTTTAAGGATCTTTTTGAAGTATAACAAACTGCGGCATACATTTTAATGCAAAAAAGAAAGCCAAGAAAACAGTTGCAAGAAAACCAAGACAAACCATAGCTTTATTTTCCAGTTTGTGATTATGGTGAACTGAAAAAACAAAACAAAAATTACAGGAATGTATTCTCTGTCTGGGAAGAGAACCATTATATAAAACCATCAAGGAAGTTCTGCTAAGCGGTAACAGGCTTTTGGCTTGGAAGTGGAGAAAAGCCTAGAACCTTTTCCACAGAACATGGATGGAGTTCCTTCCTCAGTGTATCATTTCTAGGAGGTTAGTGCTCTTAAAAAGAGTTTTAAGACAAATGCAGCTTAATTAACAAATGGCCACTTTATAAATAGACTTGACACTTTTTTTAAAAAAAGCTCATGCTTTTTAGCTAGCTCCTGCTAGCTAAAACTGATCCACGATACCCCCTCGTTTATATGATTTTCTCAAATCAAGACTTCAGCAGCAGTTTGAGTCTGAAACTGCTATATATACATGAGCAGAGGAAAAGCTACCGAGACAGTGGAGAGACTGAATACCAGAGCCCCAGCAGCTGAGTGATGGACTGCCACTGAGCCCCCAGTCCTTTAATTTGTCATCACACAATGACTGGTTTATGCAACCAACTAGGCTTGCATATTGAATTCACGTACTGTAGCAGGCAGTCTTTACTGAACAGCAGCACAACTAAAAATGGCTCATGCCAGACAAACCACTCCAAATGCAGTGTGAAAATTAACAAGGCACTCCCAAGTTCTTTTCAGAGACAACCATTATATTTCCGAAACATGAAGTGTGACTAACCTCTATTCTAGGTGGATGCAAGGCAGTCTCTGCTGCTGCGTACAAGTACTGTTACTGTCACCATATATATGTATTCAAATGGTTTCAAATATACCATTGTATTCAGGCTTGTAAAGATGATTAATGTCGGTCTTATTGCCCCCATTTTGCAGATGGGGCTTAAAGGTTTTGAGTTGCCTGGAGCCACTTAGTAAATTCACAGTGGGATTCAACTTGTGGAATCATAGTTCAGTAACTTCCAGGTCTGTCGTTTTCTTTAAGAATAAAAAGTATTCTCTCTGAAATTCTAAAGGAGCAACTCCCCAAATTGTTTTGTATCCTGCTTTTTAGAAGGTTGCAAGCATGCTTTACGTCTTTACCAAGGGGCCAGTGGCAGTAAGGAGTTTGAAATTGCACGAGAATTCGAAATTCCAAAGGCAAGCGTTTTCCCCAACCAGTTGTATCCTGGGGTGTGGTGTTCCATTTCAAGGAACCAAAGGCCACTAGAAAAAGGACAAAAGCAGAAAAACCTAATATGCCAACCATGTGCGCTGCTTGCTCACATCCCAGAAAGGGAGAAACGAGAACTGTTGCCCATGTCCTTACCGTTTATGCAGCTCCTAAAAGTACTGGAACCAGCTCAGAAGACTGTTAGAGTAGGAAGGCAATGCCTTGAGATGGCCACATCGCAACTAACCATTTCCACTTCCCATCCAAGGAATAATGCCCATCTCCCCCCTCGCCTACGACACATTGTCTTTAATATGTCACCACAACGTACGTCTTTCATTCGTCCACACTGCCCTCAAGTCCAGTGAAGAGGCACAGAAACAATTGTTTCATTTACAGTGGCCCCTCGTTCTGCATTATCAGACGTCTTTTAACACACACAGGTGAAGACAGTTCCCTCTCGCCATAACACAGGTCAAGGGAAGATAAGAAACCCTGTGTGTGGCAGGATAAAAAGCACAGATATTCAAAAAGAAGGTAGCTTTGCTGTCACTCAGATTCTGGGCATGTATTTTCAGGATTGTGCCAATGGGCTGTGGCGGCTAAAGGGTCTTACATTGTATGTTTGGGGGAAACCAAGGCTCAAACGTGAGCTCCATTACAAAGCTGACTGGGTAAGGCTCAAGGAGCACTGATTAGTTATTACCCACGAACCTACTTTATCACCCAGGGCTGCTGTGAGACACAAAGGGTGCTGTAAGGAAAGGTCTCTCCACTACAACACAGCACATGAGGCAAACTGGAAGTTTTCTTCCTTTGAAGGAAATCCCTCTTTCGGTCATAAATCTTTGGAAGAGCTCAGGAAGAGACTTAAAATACAAGGAAGGAAGGGGTTAGTATGCTCATTTATGATAATGCTCAGCACTTGCGCACACAGAGATAACTGTGTGTGAGAGAGATCCAGACATGTCTTACAGTTTTTTAGAAGATTGCTGCTGTTACTGCTGCAGCATTGCCTAGAGAACTAGGCAAACACAGAAACTCCCCTCCCCTAAGCGTGTTTCAAGCTGCAAAGCTTGAAGCTATCCCCTTATCTAGGAAGCGGAGAAGAATCTGGAGCTGGGCTTTTTGTTCCTAGGGAGAAAAAGTAAAAAAGGCAGTTATGTACTAACCCAGGAACCTGGATCCCTACCAGAAGCAACCTTGTGAATGCTGCAAGCATCTCGTTTTTAGCTGTCATAGATGGCGGTCCATTCAGCTTGCTCATTATGCCTTTATGCACATATATACGGGGACCTGCTCCATTCACCAGTTTAAGCCCACACTGAATTCTGCTGCTTGTTCGCTCCAGAAAACAAGCAGAGCTTTCAGAAACTAACATTACATGAAGATTCTATGAACAGGGGCACCAAGCTCTCAAGTCCAGCAAATGCCCAGAAACGCCTGATACGAACTGAAGTCACTGCTTTTGATTTTTGTTTTTTTTGGGGGGGGGCAGGATTAGTGATTAACATCTAAAACACGTTTATGTTCTAGTGTACCATCTTCCATTATCTTGGTGGCAAAACAATCTTCTCACCAGCATCGCTGCTGCTCCCCCCCCCCCATTTCAGACACAGGAAGCAACGAATCAGAAGGATGCAGGGCAAGTGGAAAAGGTCAAGAATGAGAGGCTCGGGCCCCCAAGTTCAAGATCTGTGCTCAAGCCCTGCATCTTTCCAGATGACCTTGAATCAGTCCCATATAGACCACCACAATACCCACGTTAAATGGCTCCTAGCTTCCTTGAGAAATGTAATTCAAACACACGTATGCCCAAGTGCCTTTAGAAATACAGACCCATTAACCATCAAACAGATTCCTGTTGTTACTCAAGTGTCAGGTGGAGGCTGAGTCCAGCACATCAAGAAGAGATTTGCCATTTTCCGTATAGCTTGTCTACAGCACCCAGGTGTCCTGCTATGTCAGGAAAAAGCACCACTCACAATTAGATCCAAGCTTTTGCCACTTTTGGTCACTGGGCACCCCTCTCCCAAGAAGCAACCACACCGGTACAAGGAGCAACAGTTTCATCACTTAAGAACAAAGCCTTTTAGCAGGTACTTGTTCACCTTTAATGGAACACTCCCCTCTCTCCTTTCCCTTCCTTGACACCTACCTGCTTGCTCAGCAACAAGCAGCAGCCCTTAACATTTATTCTGCTGTTCAAGTGCAGGTCCTTTTACCTGGCAAACCTATTTGAAGAGGTTTCAATATGTAATTGCCTTGGAGACAAAAACAAACGGTTATACACAAGAGGCAATATGGCAGCAGCAATCAAGTGAGCTGAACACTGACCAGTCCCTGAACTTCCTATTAAGCACATATGAATGAATGGGCAAGGTTGGGCTCCTCTTCAAAAACGTATCTTCACGTGGCAAAGTGAGCATACGAGAAACACTTTGCGCTGAAACTAGCACGTACATTGCTGGTTCGCCATTCGCTGTCAAGAGCTCTTTCCTGTATCAGAAGGACGTTATCACTGAATCAGCAACTCAAATGGAATTTCACTACAGCACTTTGAGAACATAGATGAATTTGGCAGGGTGTGAGATGTTCCGTTTACTGTATGGTTTCTACTTTCTGAATATACCATTTCATTGTAAACTGTGTGACATCCCACCCTCCTCTCCAAACAGTGGCAACCGTCTATTTGGTAAGTGAAAATGCACACGCTTCCCCTTGCAGCTGCATGCAGGGTGCTGTTGCAAAATGTTATGATAGATGCTAATGGAGTCTACCCTTTTCCTTCAAGCCCTACTTTCTCACTAAGCTTGTCCCTACTCACACCCACCTGTTGAACAAGCACTTTTTGAATAAAGTGCAATTCAAGTCCGGCGCCTTGCTGGATGCCCACTGGACATGAATACCTGGTGTGCTCCCAATGGAAAGAACATTGTTGCAGTTATATTACTTGAAGCTGCACTATGATCAGCTTGAAGAGTTCATGGAAAGCTTGATTGTGTTCTGGTGGACAGAAATTAGTTTAATAATTTACTTTGTAGTTTTTTACTTAAAGGCTAGCTGGACAACATTAAGACATCTTGGAATGGCAATTCCAGCTTGCTTCACATTCCAGGAATGAATTTGGGAAGTTACTCCCAAGTAAGTACACACACAGTGGCAAAACTAGTAGACTCTCCGCTGAGAATATGCTTTTGACGAAACGATTTCCCCCCCTTATCTTCCTCGTGCCTAGTAGCAAGCTGGGAGACAACATTAAAAAGTCACAATGCTCAGAGGCCTTTCTCCAAGTCCCCCTTACCTTCAGAGGAGAGGAGAGTGGTAGATGGCTATTGCATCATTTCAGTGGTGCTGTCTCCATGTATGGCATGCTCTCTGCAGGACACCTCTGAGGTTGAGAAGTGTTTTTGATGCCAGAAAATATGGCTTTATTTGTCCGGACCATGAATGGGGAACTTATGGCCCTCTAGATATAGCTGGATTATAACTCCCATTATTGCTGCTAACTGGGAATGCTGGCTGGAGCTGAAGCCCATCATCATTGTGAAGAGCCAGATTCCACATCCTGATCTAGCCTTCTAGATCTTGTGAATGTTTATATCCAGCTGTTTTTATTGCTTTATGCAGAGGCTGTTGTGTGTCGTTGATTTGGTACTACTGATTTCATTGTTTGATTAGCGTAAACTGCTCTGGATTGAGTCTTCTGGACTGAAAAACCAGGCAGAAAACTTTTGTAGTAACATTGAGACATTGGATGCAATCTAGCAGGCACCACTAAAGACTATTTCAGTGCACCTTGGTTCAGGGCTCTTCTACATTTCCTCCCAAGGAACATTTTTATGCAATAAACTTGGGACCGAGACATACAAAGCACACTAACTCCACCTGATCTTAATTAAAATAGAGTTTATTATTAGCTTCTCTTTTAATACAAACATGAGAAAGGAAAGCCACCTGAAGATGTAGCATTTGTTTCAAAACTGAATTGTGATTAATACCTGAAATCACAGACTCTGTAGAATGCCTGCCTAGGGCTGGTAGGTTAAAATACAGCATGAGACTTTGGCTCCATCTGCACTTTGCATTTAAAACGGTTTCCTACCCCTTTAAACAGTCATGGCATCCCCCGAAGAATGCTGAGAACTGTAGTTTCTTAAGGTGCTGAATGTTGTTAGAAGACCCTTATTCTCTTCAGGGAGCTACAATTCCCAGAGGTCCCTGGAAAGAGGGATTGACTGCTAAACCATTATGAGAATTGTAGCTCTGTAGGGAGAAAAGGGGTCTCCTAATGAATCTCAGCACCCTTAACAAACCACACTTCCCAGAATTCTTTGGGGGGAAATGATGGCAGTTTAAAGAGGGATGATATTGCTTTAAATGCAGATGGGGCCTAACAGTCCAAGTGCCACTGACAATTCAAGAAGCAAGTTGGGCTGGATATTAAGTAATAGCAAAAGGTACCAGATTGCAATAGGGACTGCTTTCAATGTATAAACTGTTTAGATCATTTGACTTGGAGTGGTGAAGGTTTGTAATCCAGGTTGCTTCCTACTTTTAGGAGCAGAAAACTTGATTCACCCCAAATTCCCATTCTGGACAAGCAAAATTAATTTACACAAAAAGCCAATGTTTAGAAGTTCACTTCCAGAGCAAGGAACATTATATACTAGGTTTTAAAAGGGAAAAGTGTGTTTTCAAAAGAGTAGTGATATGAACTGAAGATCATCATACCTCCCTCATCAACACGTCCAGCACCTTCAAAATAGTTCTCCATTGTGAATTTAAAGCTTTTTGGCAGCACGGGACAAAAGCAAACCTTGCTCCGTATCCATTGTTTGTAGTGGAAGAGTTTAGCAGAGCAGCCTTATTGTCTGTTCATCGCCAAGTCAGTACATTTGTTCAGGCTAGGCTTTCAATGCAGCTCTATTCAGCGCTTCAGGCAAAAGAAAGTGTATTATGCAGACTGCATCTCTCCCAGGGCTCAACTAGAAGTATAAGAACGTGAGAAGCACCATAGTTGACAAGAAATGGACCCTGACCAACTGGCTTTCAAATCAGTGAACACAGAAGACCATTTCTCTGCTCCTGCCCCCAAAGGTTTCCAGTCCCTTGACCATCTCAAGTGTCGGGTTTTGCATTTAAACAGTTAGCACAGCTTGCTGCTCAGCAGCTCCTTGGTCTTTTGACTGAACTCCAGTGTAGGAATCGAGAGTCTTGCTAGTAAATGTGTGGTGAGGGGAGGGAGGGAGGGAAGAACCCTTCACTGGTCAATGCTGTAGCATTAGTCCCAGACTGGTTTTATACTGTGTTAGCATTTAACACTGCACTGAAAGGCAACGGCAGTCTGGTCCTGGATGACTGAGAGGGGAAGAACGTCGCGACTACTGTCGTGTTAATGTTCAAATTCTAAAATGTAAAACTAGTCATTATTAAAAACTCACATAGTTCACAGCTATAGGCCTACACAGTAAGCAAACATCTGTGGGGTTTTTTTTGGGGGGGGGTGAGGGACAGTGAGGAGAAAAGGGGGGGAAGACTCAAAAGTTTTTTAACCTCTTGATTTTTAATGGAGTGTGCCCATTGGAAAGAGGTTCCATCTCTCCCCCCTCCATTTGGAATCATGCTCCTCTGGCTCTGAGCTCCCTTGGCTTGCTGTGCTCACCCCGTCCGCTGGCTGGAAGACGCCATCGCTGTTGACTTGTGAGCTTGGAGTGGAGGTGGTATCCCCGGCCGATAGGAATCCTGGCGCCACAAGATCGCAGCTTTCCATCTTGCTCAAGAGAGGATGGCGTTAGTACGGCGGATCCCAACTAAGTTATCAGCACTGAATGATCGTCTCATAGCAGCTTTTGACAAATCTTTGTATTTGTCCTCACACAGCCTGGAGATAGCCTAGAAAACATGTTCAAGCCAGAAATATGAGCTCAGTAGGATGAGAATCAGGAATCTCAGGCACCCTCTCTCAGCATCTGTTTAATTGTATTACCTCTCACTTTACTGATTCAGAAGTAGCAGACAAAAAACAACAACAACCACAAACCTGGGCTCATATTGATCTGAATGCTTCTTCTGCAGGCTCCAGGCCAATTTACTAACTAGCTTTTTCAATTCTCAAACGGAAACATTCTTTAAGGAGCAGCATCCATAAATATCTAAAGGCATCCCACACCTGCCTGAAAATGGACACTTTAATTGCATTTGGTGAAGATTTCAGACACTCCTTTTCAGCAAATAACTTCACTGTCCCTTTAGAGAGCTGCACATTCAATATACTTCCAAGTAAAGCTTCATTTGCTTAGTATATTTGAACCAATACCCAGACTCCCTTTGAAACATTTGCTTAATCTGTATAGGTGATTTTTAGCACCCAAAGCAGCACTGTAGTTCAGTCTGTCTTGCCAAGTTCATTACATATCTTTTTCACAACTTCAGGAGAAGCAATGGGCATTCAGCTATGTTGGCAGGGACTATGTTCAACACCTTTCAGGTTCTTGTTTTGATAACATATATCCTGATATGAGAAGCCACACCACTCCATCAGAACTTCTACTTGACTTCCAAACTGGCTCACATTGTCCTGGATATGTGAAGGGATCTTCTCTTTCCCTCCAACTGAAGATTATTCTGCATGCTGTTTGCACAGAGAGCCCTCCAGGTAGGAGGAGTCAGATATGCCCCACATAACCAAGGTGTCCTGAGCCTTAGCATAACCACTGCACCACATTCAATTTGTATAATTGCAGTTGAGAAAAAACACTTGCACTGCACACTTCAGTCCTTACAATTCATGCATGTCTTTCTAGGATGGAATTATATATTTTTTCTCACAATAAGTGAAACAGCTGAGAGAGAGAGAGAGAGAGAGAGAGAGAGAGAGAGCGAGCGAGCGCAGTATAGCATCAGGAACAAGTATAAGGGAACACAGAAATTATTCCAACAGGTTGACCCTTTCTTCTTGGAGGCTCAAAGCCCAAGTCACCTTTTGGAAGCAGATAACCAAAGTTCACCGAGACTGCAATCCTATATCCACTTACCGGGAAATAAGTCCAACAGAACCCAGTGGGACTTACTTCAGACATGCATAGGACTGGACTGGACTCGACTGGGCGTGCGCGCACACGCACACACACAATCATATGGACTGTGACATATGGAACCTGCAGGTGGGTGTGAGTTAACATAATTCACGTGTCCTTTTCTTCCCTAAGTTAACAAAGTGATCAAGAAGAGGCTCTGCCATGCTTTCTTCAGGTATCATTAGTGACACCTTAAAGACTGTACGTAAACGGGACGCGGGTGGCGCTGTGGGTTAAACCACTGAGCCCATGGCTTGTCGATCAGAAGGTCGGCAGTTCGAATCCCCGCGACGGGGTGAGCTCCCGTTGCTCGGTCCCTGCTCCTGCCAACCTAGCAGTTTGAAAGCACGTCAAAGTGCAAGTAGATAAACAGGTACCGCTCCAGAGGGAAGGTAAACGGCGTTTCCGTGCGCTGCTCTGGTTCGCCAGAAGCGGCTTAGTCATGCTGGCCACATGACCCGGAAGCTGTACGCCGGCTCCCTCGGCCAATAAAGCGAGATGGGTGCCCCAACCCCAGAGTCGGCCACGACTGGACCTAATGGTCACGGGTCCCTTTACCTTTTTTTAAAAGACTGTATGTAGTAATATACGATTATGAACAGAATGTGTCGGTCAGCACACAGAGTCTTAATTGTCTTAATCAACTCTGTCTGGTTTCTTGACATTTCCATTCTTTCTTACTCTTCTCCTAAGAAAGGATTACCTTTAAAAAGAAGGATTCTTGCAACTAAGAGGTTAAACCCTCCAATGAAACAAAACCAAAAAAGCTTAGCAAGCCACACTAATGTGATTAAGAAGGGACAGAAGCTGTTGTTACGCAAACCAAGTACCCAGCACACCAAGTCTCGGACCATTACCTCTAGTTTCTGTGCTCGCTCTTTACTAAGGGGCTCCAGCAGAAAGTTCAGGTTGTTGTCATCTGCTAAGGAGCGAAGGTCAAAGTAGTATTTGGCGTAAACACTGGCAGGAACATTGATATTGAACTGCAGTAGCTCCAAGAAGTGTCTTTCCATTTCATTCCTAGGGTAAAAGGGGTTGACAGAAGCAGACAAAATAAACATCTTAATATTATTCAGTGTTGCAAGCAACATTCTCCCCCCCCCCCCGAAAATGAATGTTGATTGCATCTGAAACATTTATATTTTTTTTAATGGGACAAAGTGAATGTGCTCATGTTAGATGCAATTTGAATTCTGGAACCTCCAGCTCGGGAGAAAAGGTTATGTTCTGTCATGCACTCGCTTTGCTGACTTAGAAGCGCTGTCCTTTAGAGTTCCATTAGCACAGCTGTACACAATTCATACTCCATTCTCATTCTTACAAGACCCTGCGCTATAGTTATCAGATGAAAAGAATGATGTGTGCTGTTGATTAGCTCTGAAGAACTTGCAGACATTTTCACCAGGTTGATAACAGGAAGGGGGTTTGTTGAAGTAGAGGCGGACCAACAAAAGAAGTAGGCATATCACCACGGCAACAAATGGATCTCTGAAGAGCTGCTGCTGCTATTATCTAGGAGTAAAAAGCCTCTTGAGGCAACATGGATTCATCTCCAGCAATAAATAAATAAGCAAGCAAGCAGCATTAGGTAGGCGAAGGAGTTCTTTGCCCCGAGACTCCCGGGAGGATATATATCAGCACAAGACAGGAGGAGGAATTCTTTAAAGGCTGCCTTCCATGCTATTTTACCGAAATCTATCCTATGGATTCAGGTGTGGGGCAGCACCTCTTCAGAATGGTTAGAAGAGTACTTGCAAAAAATCAGAACCGACAAGTAATACTTGCTTCATATCCCAAACAGAATCTTACTATGAGTTGATACGTAGCAACATCTCCATCGGTCCAAACGTCAAAAGGCATGGTTCTACTTTTGGTCGAATACAGATTTACAATGTGCATTTATTTGAATGTGCCTAATTTTTTTGCCAATTCAAAAGCAGTGGAATTGTGTGCTTTTCCCACTATTATGCATTTACATTTGAAATACAGTAGAGTGTTAAGACCCTATTAGCACACTAAACTCATTTGCTCATCTCCTAATGAAATATAGAATAATCCCCTAGCCCAAATTAGCATAGTCACAAGGATGGGAAGAAATGTCTCCAAACCCGAACACATGAAATGTCAACATTAACAAGGGCTGATTTTCATGTGACCGACAAAATGTTTTAAAAAGCTGTGCCCAAAGTGTTTGCTGCTGCGTAAGAAACCAGAACAAAGCACTGGACTTTCTAGTACTTCTGAGCATGCAGAGTACAATGAAATATGCTAGTACTCCCCACAGAGGTCCAAGAGATGATGGGAAGTGCAAGGCAAAGGTGTAGAAAGGAGAGGAGAGGCAAAACTTCAGGCCCAGAGGCACATCCCAGTGACAACAGGTGCTGCCTTATGACACTGCTGCCAGCCCAGACAGCCCATATTTATCACCGTATTTGAGCAAATCAAAAGCTGCCTTTCGACCCCAGACAACAGAGCTTTCCCCATAAAAAACGGGAGCTGCATAACTCACAATTGCATGTCAAATTTTCAATTTCTTGTTAACTCTTCCTCACTCACAAAGATTTGCAGGGTGGGGGGAGATGAGGAGAAGTATCGTTCTTTTTTATATTGGCATTTTAGTTGAAGAGACAGAAAACAAAGAGGAATGTATCATCTAGATGGCAAGTCTCAATGAGAATAGGAGCTTTGTGTGCTCTGCTTTGAGCAGGATGGGCAGGAGGACCACTAAGCCCCCTGCCAGAATTAATTTCCTGCTCATATGGTCATAAAGCTTATAGAAATGTAAATCAGATAATGTTTGGATGATCAGCTGATCAGGGCTTCATTTGCCCCCTTTGTACAGAGCTCGCTAATACATTTTAATTGTGTAAAAATTACAATACTTTGCCGGATTAACAAGTCTATTAATAAGGGTTTAGAAGCTAGGAAAGGCAAAAAGGCCCCATGTGTTTGTGTTGCTTTATTTACTATCACATGTAGCCCAAGAATGAACAGCATGTCCCCTCTTTTATGCACACTGTAATCTACAGGATTAGCAGCTGCATGGCTAGAGGTTTTTCCCACTCTTATTAAGACACTCCATTAAAGCAGCTATTTATATGGCAAAGGGTTTCAACAAACAACATTTCCCTTTTCCCTCATTTCAGATTTCTTGTTACAGAATCAGAAGTGCAGTGCAAGGAAAATTCTGATGCATTATTCTGTTGGCCAGCTTTATACATCTTTCGCCCCTCTCTAAACTAAGAGGCAGATCTTTTAAGAAACCCAATTAACTCCCTCATCTGCCTAGAACACTTCTCTTTTTCATTAAGCATCTTATCACAAATTAAAAGTCATGCTTCTCAATGCACACTCTAGAAAAAGGGCAACTTGCTGCAGCTGGACAACTCCTCCCTAGATGCTTGTCTCAAGATTCAGAGTTAACATTTACAAATACAAGGGGGGGAAATAGTTTTTTAAAAAGCAAAAATACATTTCGCTTTGGGGGTCACCTCTGAATATTTTGTGTTCTGTTTTTACAAGTTTGAGAATTAATTTCAGACACAGCACAATAATGCTAAACCATAGTGAAGTGAATATGGTGCTGTAGTCACAAAGGATGCAGAAGTTTCTACTTCCATTTCAGATCAACCAAAGTTTGAACCTGGATTGTTTTAAGAAGCCATAGTTAAGGTTGACCACAATTTGCCAAGGTTTGGACGACAAAACAAGCTGTGCTTAATCTATAATGGAAGCAAAATTCAGCTGCTGCACTGGAGGAGATGGGTGACAGTCTTGGGCATGAGACCCTAAGAGGAGTCTTCTGGATCAAGCCAATAGCCCATCTAGTCTAACATTCTGTTCTCACAGATGCCTGCAACCTTAATTCACGGCAACCTTTCTTCACAGGGGAGTCGCTCCATCCCCTTGATCATTTTGGAGGCCCTCATTTCAACCTTTTCCAACTACACAATACAGTATCCTTTTTGATATGAGGTGACAAGAACTGTACAAAGTATTCTAAATGCAGTCGCACCATAGATTTCTATAGTGGCATTATGATATCCGCAGCTTTATTTTCAATTCCTTTCCTAATGATCCCTAGCAGGGAATTTGCCTTTTTCATGGCTGCTGCTGCAACATCTTCATCGAGCTATCTATTGTGAAGGTCTCATTCCTGGTCCATCATGGCCAGTTCTGTTTAACAAGCAAGGGTCCAAGAAGCTATTGGAGGCAAGGCGGCTTCCTTCAAGCCTTGTCCAAATGAAGGAAACAAAAAGGAACACGAACCCCCCCCCTCCTCCAAATGCAAGCAGATAGTAAGGAATTTTCAAAAAATTATTTGAGGAACACATGGCTGAAAACATTAAGACCAACAAGAAGAAATTCTTTAAATGTGTCAGGAGCAGGAAACAGTCTAGGGAGATGGTTGGACCCTTGGATGCCAAAGGAGGTCCAGACTATCAGCATCCAACCTAGCAACTTAAATTTAGCTTCCAGGATGTCATTTGCCCATGTCATTGGTGCCAACATGCACCATGAACACCGAATCCTCCCCAGTACTATGTACCAGTGGCTCATTCGGATAAACAAGACCAATGAAATTCCACACTGTTCAGCCTAAGTTAGTGAATAGCAAGCAGAAGTTCTCACATTTTTTCCAAGACCAGAGCTCTATTAAAGTGAAAACCAAACAAGTTTGGATTTGTGTCTCCCCCCCCCCCCCAAAAAAAAAGTATTAAAGAGGCCCGGGTCAAACTGCTCATTGCAACTTACAGGGTCTGATGAAAATTGTGCTCACGAACTACTGTTACACAAAGAAAACCACAAGAAGTCACATGGACACCATTCAAAACCTGATTTGAATTAGTTGAAGGCATATTACGTACTAAATATATCATGGAGTAAAGGTGTATTTTCAAACTATCTGGGCTAAGACACAGATGAGCAAATTTAACTAAAGCTTGCAACTTACATGTCTTCAACTGTAATATCCTTCAGTATTTGGCAGTAATCCACATTCCACACGGCCTGATCATCCCACACCTTAGAAGCTAGCAGAATAGCACCTAGAACTATTCTCTTCCAGTTACTTGGGCAAATGTCAATCTCTGCATAGGTTAAGAGCCTTTCCAAGTAAACCTGCAGATGAAGAAAACTGTTCTTAAGATTGTAATGACCCAAGAGTCCTCTTTGGGTGTTCTTTGCTCCCATATTGAGCAACATGGAAATGAGAAGCGGGGCTGCTTAGATTAGCCCTTTGCCCTCAACATTGTGCATGTCTCCTCTGATGTCCATGCACACAGCATTAAATCTGTAGCAAAGAGGTTTCACAACTATGCTTGAATCCCCAGAATTTGTAACAGTTCAGGGTTATATGTGTGAGGTTCCCCTTGCTACTGATGTTTGCACTGAGCAGAAAGCCATCAAAGCAGAAACACACAAAACCCAGGGCAGGGCTACTTGGCGGGATCTTGATCCTTGCTTCCATGTTGTTCAACACAGGAGCAAAGGACACCAGAATAGGGCTAATAAGGCATGCACAGTAAATGTTTCAATCAAGTAAAATCTATGATGTAGTCAAACACCTGACGGAGTAGTTTTAGTCTGATTTCCTGCAACTTCTCTCATCTACATCACCAGAAATGTTTTTGTTTTCAAGCAGACCAAACATAATGCACTCACTATGAAGGGTGGGCATTGTAAAGTGAAGATGAATAAAAAAAGTATTGCACGTTTTAAGAATTCGCATTTTTCTTAACCAAGACTAATCAAAACTATTCAACATCACTGCAAACTTCATTACCGAGATGCTCCCTATTCATGTGTGTTTGCACTCACTGTACATTCAAGATACACATCTACATATACGCTTTATTCACCAATTTAAAATGAACTCCATTAGCTAAAATACATTAGAATCAAGCAACCACACAGCACTGCCATATTTTCAGCTTCAAGATCATGTACAGAAGGGGGGAAAGGTAACTCCCAACTGACTGAAAACTTTTGCTGCTTTCCATGGTGAAACAGTGCCAACTAGTGGCAGAAGTACTTTTTAATGTTTAAGTGACCAAATTTTTTAAGGGTTGCTTTCTTACATGACAGAATGCTTTCAGAAGAATTCCTAGAGTCTTACGCACACGTAGTGCTGTCAGGAATTGTTTCAATAGCACTGGAAGCAGAATATTCCATTTCTGGCAGTTCTGGTTTACTGAAAGATTCCTGAAGGTCGTGTGGAATTTTTCACCTGCAGGCCTTCACAGGAATCATTCAAAAAACACAGCAGAGGCGGCATATCTTACACTGAAACAGGGCCTCAATTCCGAGTCATGACAGACTTACTGGCTACAGGACAGCTACTTACCTGCACAAGTATTCCAAATTCAGAAGATGTAGCCCAATGCATTTACCCTCTATTTCTGCAGCACAAGAGAACTGAAGGGATGGGGGAATCAAGTAGCCTCACATGTGATTGGACTCTAATTCCCACTGGCATGCCGAATGGACAGGGATGAAGGGAGTCAAAGTCCAACAACACCTGGAAGGCAACAGGCTCCCCCCCTCTGCAATGGATTTGTCTAACAGTTATCAAACAGGCAGCCTAGGTGCAAGCTTATTGACACTTCTGCAATCAGCCTAGTGCATTTCTTGTATCAAGTTCTGACTGCTGCAAGGTAAAAATGACAAAGAGTCATTACGTGAGACATACTTAATTCCATCTCTGATTCCTGCATTGCAGGGAGTTGGATTCGAATGCCCTTTGGGTCCCTTCCTCCCTTCCTACGACTCTTATGAATCTAACTCACAAAACCTGATTTTAAACAGAATTTAAATGCAAGATGGTGGTAACTGGGCTCCCCACCAAGGCTTACCAGTGTCACTATTGCACATTCGGCCGTCAGCTGCGCTGCACTAAACAGGGTACGTACAAAGCGATAGATGTGCTTGTGATCAGGGTCATGTTTAAAGTAGTCATCTGGAACCTCTTCACGCTGAAACAGGACACAGTTCAGAAGTAATTTAAAAGTGAAGCTGAACACAGCGGGACTTATTTCTGAGCAAACATGCACAGGATCATGCTGTTAGTACTGTGAAAATATCCTGCATGAATAGGTCAGTCGGTTATATACAAAGGCTGGAATCCAAATGGCTGAGTGCTCACAGGAGTTCCTTAAAGGCCTCTTCCTACTGGAGCCCCCTAGCTGCTCTCAAAAATAGGGGACACAATCTAGAACTATATTCTATGGGGACTCAAGAAGCTACCACCAGAAGGGAGAAACTGACTCATGAGCATGGGTAAATATTTTTCATAAATACCCCTTTTTGGATTCCAGTTCAAAGCTATAGAAGTCCAACACTGCTCTTCCAACAAAACAAAACCTGTATCAGCTGTCTTGCACCACAGCCAGAATGTAGAACGGGACCAATTGGCCAGGGATTACACTCTGCAGCACCACTTTTTAAAGTATAAGAAGCCAAATAGCAATCTAGTTTTGTATGGACTGAAATGTTTCTTTGCACAGAAGCTAAGAGACAAGAAATCTCTCTTATTTTCCTGAACATCTGGCTTTCCTTATAAGCAAGCTGAAATAGACACGTTTCCTAGGGATCAGGGTTTATTCCTGTTCATATGGGATGCACTCAAGCAATCAAGTCAAACTAAGGTAATCAAATTTACCGTGAGTGGATGTGATTTCTCATCAAAAATATCCAGTGATCTATCAGAATCCCTGCAACACAGGAGAATGTATGTTACTGCTGTTAGTAAAGCTTTCATTTGCATTCCTTTAAGAAGCATTTTAATACATCATAGCATGAGGAGGACTACCCATGTAATTGGTAATATGGCAATACCCTGTTCTTTATCTCCTTTGCCCGCTCTCTTTCCTCCATGTTGTGCACTTCTAAATGCTAACTCAAAAATGCTATAAAACTATATACAGTCGTACCTTGGTTCTCGAACAGAATGCGTTCTGGGAGTCCATTCGACTTCCGGAACTGTTCGAAAACCAAGACACAGCTTTCGTTTGTCCGGGAGCCAATACGTATGAGTTCCAAGGCATTCAGCAACCACGGTATGACTGGAATAAACTTTTAACAGCAGCATTACAGAATGCTTTGCAGTTGTTGGAAATCTAAGAAACTGTCCTGGGAACCACAATATACCCCTTTCACGGAACAAAACTGGCAATGTCATCAAACAAAACAAGCAAAACATCTACAACAAACAAACAAACAAACACCCCCCCCCCCTAAATCAATAACTTTTGTAGACTTGTTTTCAATGCCAAGATACTCAGCATGAGCCAAATTTGAAGTTTTTAGCAAGCATTTGCATTAAGGTGAGACAAGATGTCTGGGCAAATGAGTAATAGTAAGCATATGGTCAGAAGGGTGTGTGTTTGTGTGTGGATCCAGTGGCTGGATCTTGAACAGTGTGAGTAGAACACAGCTCTCCTATCTCTTCCTCGCTATAGCCTCCTGTGCCCCCAGGAAAATCGGAGGACTCTCCTGAATGGGGTGGGTTGGAGTGCAAAGGAGGACTAAGTGGAAATTGGGCAATGGACACCTTGCATAAGCAGACTTCCATTTGACATCTCTGGTTACAACCTGGGGTGCTAAAGAAACCATATGGAGCAAAGACACATCCCTCCTCCAAACACATTTTGAGCCCATAGCCATAAATTACAATATGCCTATATTGCAAGAGATGCAAAACCTCAAAGAAGCCATAACAAAGCTTGTATTATGACTGTTACTGTGGCTCCTGTCTTCAAAGAGACTCCCTTCATCCCCAAAGAGCTATATTTAACATTAATCTCCTGTAGTGAAGTAGCTCATCATCAGCCATAGAAAGTGGGGAGACAAGGAGCACGCATTTGCAACCCAGCCCTATCTATGAAGTCATTATGCACAGAAGGTGGCATAAAAATTAAGTTACTGGATGCAAAACTCGCATCTGTTGCACTTTGATTTTTGTTTCCAAGACCTTAATTTGGTAAGTTTGTGCGTGCATCTGTTTCTCTCTCTCAATTCCCCAGGGCTCTTTACAGCCACCAGCAATTTCTTAGGTATGAAAAATGTAGCTAATACCTGCCCGTTTTAAAGTCTTGCTATTTCATATTCACGCAACAAATTTTTGATTCTTAACAGCATTGCCTCTCCAACATGAGAGCCCCAATTAATAAAACACACAAGCTACAGCTACCTCAGTAACCAATGGCTAAGCTGTAGTCATCATCACTGCAATGACTTGCAAAACAAGAGTTTTAAGTGGTGCTCACCTGTTCTTTATGTGATAGTATATTGCTAATGTAACACTGTGAGGAGAGAGAAAAGTCATTTCACTGTTAGTGGTTCTGCAAGTTTAATTTTTATACAAGATTGCTGTTACGAGATAAAAACAGATTTTATGACAAAAACCACATTAGAAACTTTTGCCTCTTCTTCTTTCCCTTTTTCAACTGAACTCATTTAAAGATATACGTGTTGAAATTCAACATGCTCTAATACAAGCTTGCCTGAACTAAGACTAAAAAAATCTTTATAATGCCAGGAACTGGATCGTATAATGGAGCATCTGGATTAAACCTGTAATCTATTTAGTAAGAAAATGACCAACAAAATTAGCTTGTCTAGATGACTTGGCCAAGAGACCCCAAGCGGTACACAAATATCACCAGAGGGGGGACTATTGAATAACACTGAATATTAGGAGGGATACAGGGTATCACCACACTGATGATGTAGGCTAAAATCTTCTGGCCATTTATCTTTTTTTGCTGTAAGACAAGATAGGTGGGTTAGTGACTGTGCCTCCTTCTTTTCCAAGCAACTGGACGCTGCTCTCTCTAGGCAGACCTGTGGGCACATCTTGATGCTGCCAGTGCAGAGATTGAGATGTTGTCCTCGCTGCATTCAGCTGGTGGGAGGTGGGGGAAGGTTCATTAGACAAAAGAGGCTGATGCTCTGACAGCTACAGAACACCATCGCCCATGGCTCCTTAGGCTTACCACACCACACAGCCCAGCTGAGGAATCAGAGGGGGAAGCTCTGACCTCCTACATCCACTGTGCAAGATCAACTCTTCACTCGCTCCAGTCTGAAAGCCCTGAGAATATTTATGCTCATGGTGCCCAGAGTCTATTACAGAGGTGGAGGAAACTGTGTCGGGGTGGTGGTGGCTCCACTTCTAAGAGGCCACACCTATAAATGGGCTAAATCCATTTGCATGGAATCATCCCTTAAGCAGCTTGCTCTGTATTTTAAGCAGCTCACCCTACAATGCTGGTGAGTTTCAACAGTATACAGTCCTCTTTAATAAACCTCTTTTCCATTTATAGTGTGCCCCCCATTCTACTTTTAAGCTATAGTATAATTTCATTATACGACCGGGATAAAAATAAGTCAATGAGCCAAACAACAATATAGGAAATTAATTCTAAGGGGAAATAAATTTTCAAGGGGGAAAATGAAGGGTACTTCCAACACTCTTCCCTCATTGCTGCCATTCTGGCAACCCTGAGTCAAGGGACCCAATCTGAAATGATGTATGATGTTGTACTTAAAATCTCCACTACTTCTCAGCTTCAGCTGCGAATCCAACTTCCTCCTGCAGCTCTCTATGGCCTAAACACACTGTGTGACTTACATGAGCCAATCTATGGCAAATCTGGGCTTTGTGTTCCTAATTCCTAATTACTGTATTGTCTCAAGCACTCCAATATTTTATCAGCTAAGCGTTTTAAAGTTACAAGCTAATTTTATACCCAATTCTCTGAGAGAGCAAAAATAGAAACTGGAGTATGAGAGCTCTGGAGTCTACATAAGAGAAACAAGAAAGATGAAGATACAAAAAAAGTTTAACTATTAGGTAACTTTTCCCTGAATCAAAGAATTCTGGAATCAAGTACTGTGGTTAAGGAATAATTTCATGCCACTAGATGGCAGGCCAACCCAAGAGGCTACAATTTACTCTGAGTTTTATACAGAATGTTACCAGAGCAAAGGTTTCATAAAACTGCTGCATTTTACTTGGTGTACTTTGGGGGCAAAGAAAACCTTCCTGCTCAACTTATAAAAATCAGAATCAATCACTTTCACTAGAACTCGTTTGACAGAATACTGACTCCTCTGATCTCTCCAGAGGAGGTGAACATGGTTCATCAGGATACCTTCTCCCTAAAGACTCAGTGGTACTTACCATTTTATTGTGCTCCTAAGATTAGGCTGGCTTACTGTGCTGTCATCAATAAATATTGTTGAACATGAACTATACTTTTTTGTAAGCTGCCCTGGAGAAACCTGTAAGGAGGAGGGGAAAGCAGCAGTGTTCTTAAAAATGGTTTCCAATACAACTATTTATGGGTTTACAGTAAGCACCCATATCCAAACCTACATATTTAAGAATTAAGCATTAAAATTCTATTAAAGAAAGCAAAGATACATTAGAGAAAAATACTTGAATGGCATAGAAAATCTCTCTCTCTCTCTGTCTCACGCACACACACACACACACACACACACACACACACACACCAGCCGCCCATCGCAAGTCCTTCTCCAGGTCTGGACTCCCTTGTGGCTACTATTGTAAATAGCAGAGGAGAATACACAAGAAATGACATGTTTAAAGTTGAGGAGAAGAACATGTGCCAGCAGTGTGTCATAGAGAAGCTAAACGACTCTGCTGAAGCTCAAGGAAGGTATTCTGGGTTACTTAGACTACAGATGTTCCCCCATTTAAAGCCAATGATTATTTGTGTTTAGTTTTTGGGAAAAGAGCTTAGGGCTGCCATACACCCAGATTTTCCTGGATACATCCAGGCATTTTAGGGGTGTCAGGGCAATTTTTTTGCGGCATCAGGGAAAAAACATCAACTAAAGCTCAACAACTCTGCCTGGATTTTCACTTTTGGGATTATGGCAAGGCTAGGAGAATATGAGCACATTACATTACACAACCATTATACTTTGACAGTTATAAGCTATGAGCATCAAAAGGCTCCTCATCCCACCAAACAATTCTAGGAATGCGTGTGAAAGTTGGTAGCAGATCTCTTAAGGAAGGGGTGGGCCTTGTTTTGCCGAATATTTTGTTGTTACTGTACTAGAATCCCTGTGGGTTGTTTAAACAAACAAAGCACATCCTCAGAATCTTAACATTTAAAATATAACTAATCTGTCTTAAGTAATTCAGAAAAATTCCACTGTTCCTGAAGATGCAATGTTCAGACTGAGGCCCACCCAGTCCTGTACTCTGCAGGAATTCCAGCAACTGGCTGTTAAAAGGCTGTTCAACGGAAATTAAACATGAACTACCTTCTGCTTCAGAGTTTACTCCCATTCTACTTTGGCTGCAGTGTTTCTGAAACAGAAGCACAGAGCACTTGTTCTATCAAGTGTTGGCAGGCAAAAAAATATGGAAGTGACATGCTGAACCGATTAATCACCACTAATCCCATTAGTCACAGGTGACCCTCTTCTGCAGCTCCCACTGAAGCACACATTAATGCTCCTTCTTCATCACAGCATTAGCCATGTGGGAGACAAATTTCATGCTCACTTATTAAATATGCTTTTGCACTTGAAACAATTATATCACGTGAGTGCTTAGACTGAGATATTGTGCAGTCAACAACACCAGCTAGGATTGTGTTCTACTGCGCTATGGAAAAAGGAAAGTTGAGAATCATAGAATTGCAGAGTTGGAAATGCCCCCACGGGTCATCTAGTCCAGTGTTCCAACTTTTTTGGCAAAGGCAACTTTTCATGAAAAAAATCGAGCACAACCATACAGCGTGACGTCAGCGCCACTGCGGAGGACGCACGAAGTGTATTTCAATTTTTCCCCCCTGCTTCTTCTGTCACGCAAAAGCAAAAAAAGCAAATTACAGCAGTCACACGAAGAAGCTCCTACCTAAGAAGGTACGCCGTGTCTCTTCGCCCACTTGCGCCCTGCTCACGCTGACTCCCACCCTGATTTTCCGCAGTCAGCGGCAGGAGCCCAAGTGTCAGCCAGACACAGCCCGCTTCACTCTAGCCTGAAGCGACCAGCTCTGGACTCCCAAGCAGGGTGGGAAAGAGGACTCGCATCTGGTAGCCTCCGGGCTCCTCGCCTGCTCGAGGGATGGCATTGCAGGCAAGCTGCCGGCCGTCGCCATCGCCGCCCCCTCATGCGAGTGGACCTGCCCGGAGTGGTGGGCCGGGGGAGGCTCGCTCTCTGTGGGGATGTGGCCCGCACGCGCGGCCCCGCTTCCTCCTGCCCAGGGCTGAGCTCCTTACCCGCGATCTCGGTCTCGCGCACGCGGATCCCACTTATTCCGAAGCTCGCGCCACTAGCCGGGGCTCTCACACCTTGCCAGGGCGAGGCGGCGCGGCCCACTGACGTCATCGCGGCTCGCCGCCGCCCTCGACTTCCCTGTTCCCTCCCCTCCCTCGGGTCGCCGTGGTTACCGAGGACTGCAAGCTGCTCGGGCGAGCATGGGGCATTAAGTGGGAGAAGGGAAATTAAAATTAAAACTCGCCTGAAGGCCGCCTCTCCGGATATCTTTCAAATTTTTTAATTTTTCCCGCGGCACACCAGGCAACGTCTCGCGGCACACTAGTGTGCCGCGGAACACCGGTTGGGAAACACTGATCTAGTCCAACCCTCTGCAATGCAGGAACTTGAATATGCAGTGAATGGTTTAAACGTTTGAAGTAAACTGTTGGAATAGCAAGGAGTGAAACTCTTAAGCTCACTGCTGCCATTTCCTGCATGTAACTAGCTGGGCTTTTGCTGACACCTTTCTTCATTTACTAGATGTACTTACATGGTTGATGTGGTTGCTTTTCCTCTTCTCTCTCACTGAAAAGGGAGAGAACACTTTTATTAATGAATGCTTCAACTTCTAAATGCATTCTGTATTTTAGAATGAAATCTGTTTAATTGCTAGGAGGATACATTCAAACCCAACAAATACCACCCAAGGTTTATCTGACAATAATTTAGTTTCCAGTTGAGCACAGTTTATCACTTCCAGGGTGTGTCAACGAAACTTTATGCTGCTTTTTTTGGGAAACCTAACATTTACTCCCAATACAAGAAAGGTTGCCACAGAGTTAGTGCCACTCAAAGCAACAGAACCTTCTGCTCTGCAAAAACTAGGGAGTTACTGCAGCAGTTCATCCAATGGGGAAAAATGCATTCAAGACTCTTGGTATTTCATCACTAGAGAGCACTGCTTTAAGCATTTACTTGCTAAGTTTGAGCTAATCCAACTGCACTGAAATTTTATACCACGAAGAACATGTGACTACAAAAATAAATGCTGGTACGAGCTGTGTTATCTAAAGCTACCGAGCTTCAAGCTACAAGGCACACACTCTGCCAAGATAAACCTAAGTAGATTTTTTTTTCAAGCACTGGTCATAGGACAACCATCCTAAACCATTCCTAAATAAGAAATGCAATCATTCCTATTCATTCTAATGAGTGGCGAGTGTTTCAAAAGAATGGATGAATTAAAAGCTTATTTTTAAATGCCTTGGAAAATGGCTATGAAGAGCAGCTAAAAATGTTGATGTAGAGTCAGTATTTTGACGGAAGTGGAAGGAGACAGCAGCATTTCTCAATCAAAATCCATCCACTCTATCATGTCCTCCCCTCCTTCGTTTTAAGAGAGCAAAAGATAGCTTACCATCTGTTTGGGATTTGCTCAAGAAAATTGTGCTTGCTCTAGGATGGTCAGATGGATTTGACTCCAATGCTAAATCTGAAACAAAGAAACAGAAGGGATGCTATTCCTAGGTTTGGATTTATTTTGGGAAACACATCTATATTCCAAGAAAAGTGAACTTACTCCTAGACATCCTACCTATCCCATATTTCCCAACAGTTACATAATTAGTATCTATATAGTACATTTTCATACATTCAAAGACTAGAAGAACCATATCCTAGAATAATAATAATAAAAAAAGATTCATACAGTAGTTCATACTAATCAACAGGGTGCTACCACACTAATGTTGAGCATACTGAACTGGTATTTACCCCATTCAGTTGGATTTAAAGTCTGAGTCATCAGCCTGCTCTGAAAGGATCAGGGGTGGGGAACTCTGGCCAATGGGCCAATCTGTGTCTGCCATTTCTCTAAACCACCTGCCCATCAGCTGATGTCACTGGTGACATCAACTAACGGACAGGATGTTCTTGGAAAGTCTGCTCCATGCTGACTGTTTCAACCTTTGAAGAAGATCAACATATTTTGGAGATGGGGTATTAAAAAAAACCCAGCATGTAGTTTTCATTGCTAGAACCAATGTCTGCTTTAGATACAGGCTCTGACAGAAACTGTTCTGTCACACAACGATGAAGAAGCAGGCACTTGCCTTGCAGAACTCTTCGAAAGAGCTCCCCCCAATTTAAAGAGCACCAGAGCAATCTTTAAAGCGGGGGGGGGGGAAGAGACTGCTGGAAAGCATGTGCTGGCAATTCTTTGCAGCAGTCTCCCCTGCGCCTTTGAAGACTGCTGTAGCAATCTTTAAAAGAGATGGGAAGAGACTACTGCAAAGAGCATTGTGAAATCCCTTGCACAAGTGCAAGGGATTTTGACATGTGGATGGGGCAATCCACCTGTCAATCATGTGATACCATAGTGACACCATGTGCTAGACCATCAATACTGCCTCAGCTCTTCTGCATGAGTAGCCCTCATTACATATATAACACATACTGCGCAGTGTTAGAAATTAGCCAGGTGCATTTTGTGACTGGTGCAGGTCCAACAGTCACCACGTGAAGATCTCCGGATCTCTGTTTGGTGGCTGGTTAAAGCAAAATGTCATTTCTGAAATATCTAGATTGAATTAATAATAAATCCCATTGCCGAAAAAAAGGGCACCTAGACATTCTGTTGTGGCGACTGCAACCTAGGTTTAAAGTGCCATTTGGCGATTAAATTATGTATCTGAATTTCTAATATTGCCATGCTAGATCGGCTGTTTCAAGTACATAGCGTGGACAAGCAAGACTAATACTAGATGGCTTCCTAAAAGCATCCAGCTGTTCATCAGTAGTTTAGCTTTCCTCTCTGAGTAAACAAAGAAAGTAGCTTTAATTATGCCAAACCTTTAAAATTCTACAGGCAGTCCCCAAGAATTTCAAGAAGTTGGTTAAGAACACTTTCCAAGTATGAATGGGAAACACACATTAAAACACATTATTTCACACTTAGATCATTGAAGTTGGATTTACTTCTAAGAGACATGAGTCACCAGAAAGCATGTAAATACTGAAAGTGTTAAGAAATTCATATAAAGGATACTGAGTTGGGGAGAACCCAACCACAAGGCATTTTCGATGCTATGAGGTCATCTCAGGTCAGGATTACTTTTCAAGTCTTAACTTTAAAAAATAATGAATACACTACTGTAGCTTTTTAAAATATATAAGTACCTTTCCTATTCTACCTAGCTGCCTTTCCCCCAGCCCAGTTCACTAGAGGCAAAAACATACCACAAATGTGTAGCAGCTGTTTTATGTGTTGTAGTGTGTGCCAGAGCGACTCTCGCACTTGGGTCTTGATTTCTGGCACGCTTGCAAAGATAGTTGGCCACAAAATGACCTATGCTATATAGACACAGGATCCACTTATACTTCAGCAGTAATTTTACGGACGGACATAAATACAAAGGAACCACATGTGCTGCAGATTAACAGAATACACTGCAGTTTACCAGAGGGGAATCTTCAGCAGCATGGCCCAAGTCTCTGCCAAGGAGGAACAGCTGCTCCAAGGGATTTAAATTGTAGACATACTGGTATGCCTTTGGACGGCTGACAGTGAAAGTTTATGCTGCAATGAGACAATTTCCTCTCTAAGGCACTGCAGGTTCTCTCTTTGACATACTAACATGGCTATAATCATAAATCATAGAGTTGGAAGGGACCTCGAGGGTCATCTAGGCCAACCCCTTGCAATGCAGGAATCACCCCCTGCAATCCAGGATATCCTTGCATAATTCTGAGCTGAAGTTGGATAGCAAATGCATGAATGACATTGTTACATTTCTGTCCTAGCATTGTGGAGTTGGAACATTCCCCACACACCCTGTCATGTTTCCACACACGCAGCATGTTTGTTTGCCTATTTGCATATAGTGTTGGAACACAAACTGTGTGTCTGCCTTGGCCGCTAATCATTGACCTGCCAATGTAACACGTGAACAAGCCAACGATCTGAAAATGACTGGGCATGATTAGAGACACGTAAGTGCTAAACCTATGTCCTGCATCTTGTTTAAGTTGGGCCTCGGTGAATGGTAGAGAAAGGGGTCACTGAAATATGCAACTGCACCACCTGAAGTGGTATGTTTCAGGAAAAGCTCCATCTCTTTATTCTTCTGTCTCTGAACTGACCACAAATGGTAGGTCCTTGAACATCAGTTTCCTGAACGTCTCATAACAAGCAAAGTCCTATTACAATAGGGAACTAAAGTATTGCTTTCTCCATCCTGACTAACAATCTCATGCAGCACAAAAGCAAGCTATTACATCATATAATCATCTGCTTTGGATTGACTTAGATTTTTGGATTGACTTAGATTATAAGGCAAAAGCACTTATAAGTACCAGTAACGGTGAAATACTTTCAGACAGTTTGCTCATCTACATAGTCCTTCAGGGAACAGATGAAATGGCACTGCTGCCCTACACCTGAATTAAAAAGAGGTCAGGTGTAGAAACAGTCATTAAAATATTGCAAGCTCTACATCAAATCTCCCATCAGAATGGGGGTGAGGGTTAAGAAATTAATTTAAGTCACCAAAAGAAAGGAAACAATTATTGGTTTAATTCAAGCTTTCCGTTCACTCATTTGGTTAGTATACAATTACATCAGAGTAATTTTGATTTACAATGAAGTAGAAACTAAATCCTAAACCTCTACTGATACAGCCTACATACCTCATGCACTTCACGATTTATAGGAACTTGATTTTTTAAAAGTACTGTACAGAGAAACACAGATTTGCACATGAAAATACACAGAATTATTATTATGGGACTTAAAGGAAGATCAGTTTGTAGCACGTGTAAGCTCAGAAGGTGGACTGCACATATGTAGAAGTTAATTTCCATTTCGCTCCATGCAGACATGCAAGGACACTAACAACGTAATGATATTGACTCAGAAGTCCTACTGAATTTAATGGGGTTTCTTCCAGGTAAGTGGGTCCTCACTAACCATGAGCTGCAGCTAAAGTTTGTTGCACAGCCACCTATCTGGCTGTCATGACTGGAATCAGGTATTGCCCGTACTTCATAGCTTAGCATACCATGTGAACCAGCTCAGATTATAAAGGTTCTACATAACAAATACTTAATATTTTAAAGTTGGTCGGTTTTTAACGACTTTCCTGAATTACTTTTCTTAGTTCCAATGCAGCATCTGCTTTCGTAAGCTGCTGCCAAATCTTATGACATTTTATAATAAAAAGCTTCTAAAAGGCTTGCCATAGGGTGCCAAACCCATTTATTTCACTGCATTTTTGTTTTAAGATGGATTTGTAATTTTTAATAATGTTGTTTCACTTCTGAAGGTAGCTTGATTTGAAATAAAATCTGTAATGTAATTAAGCATGTTAAATTCTACAGTTCTTAAAGCCCAATTATGATGCACACTCACAAACACAGAATCAGTGTAAAAATAAATATTGCCTGGAAAAAATCTGACACCTTATAATTACGATACAATGGAACACTTTTATTGTTGAAGAAATGATTGACATTTGTAACTATCAACTAAAAAGAAAGACATCCACTTTCTATCAAATGTGCAAGAACACTGGTCCAGTTTCTTCTGGAAAATTCTGAAGACCTAGGCCACAATCTAATGTATTTAATTCTGTACTGGATTGTGGCTCTTGTCTTCAGGTGAGTGATGCTGCCATGTGAACACAGCGAGACAAAAATCCAGTAGCTTCACAATCACTTCCCTTGTTTTTAAAAGAGATACAATTGTGGAGTGTACAAAGAATGCATGCTGCATGACCAAAGGTTTCGGATTATGCTTCTAGGTAGTATAAAGGCTTTATTTAATTGAAGTGTTTTAACTGCCATAGCAACCAAATAGTGGGTATGGCTGTTCAGGAAGTATGTTTTAGACAATGGGGAAATTGATTTAAATTAATCTTTACTTAAGCAAGTTAAAACCACAGATTTAAATCAAGCCACTGGATGTGTTCAAGCCCATTTTATAATCCTGTCCTAAGCACCCTAACTTTCTGGAAACTGGGGTAGAAGTTACGCAACAAAAGCCATTTACTTTCGATCTCACTGAAGAAGCATCCAAAATGTTTGGTTCATAGAGTCATAAGTATTCATGATTTGCCATTAAACAACACATGGCCTATTATGACATTTATAATGCTTAACCCAAACATGCATGCCTTTCCCCACTGTTTTGCAACCAAAATTTAAGACAAGCCAATGATTTTTATCCATCCTCTGAAGTAATAGCTCCCAAATTCTAACGACATTATAGAACTCCAGCCACATATTTCCTAGCCCTAAGGAAGAAAGCAAAACCGAATGAAAAAAAGGTCCACTGAATCAAAAACCCAGCTGCACTTTCCAAAAACATTTAGATCAGGGGTAGGCAACCTAAGGACCGGATGCGGCTCAATCGCCTTCTCAATCCGGCCTGTGGATGGTCTGGGAATCAGGGTGTTTTTACATGAATAGAATGTGTCCTTTTATTTAAAATGCATG